CATTCATTCATTCATTCATTCATTCATTCATTCATTCATTCATTCATTTATTTATTTATTTATTTAATCTCCGACCATCTCCCCCTAATGGGGGACTAAATTATTATTTATTAAACTTGTATGCAGCCTGATTCTCGACAACTCTGGGTGTTATCTCCAGAAAATGTTGTTTAAGAGACAAAGGATGCTTCCACACAGCCACTGGCTTCTTCCCTCTAATTCTCATAGCCGCTTTGCTAGTTTTCCCATTTCCTATGTTCCTTCCAGCTGGCCAACTGGAGGGCACAAATAGGAGCAACCAGCTGGTGCTCCATCCTGTCCCTGCTGTAGCTTCTTTTCATGGAGAAGGACAAATTTTAAAAACCACGACTGGCCACTATGCTGCCCGTTGGTGCGATTGTGGGGAATGGAGGCATGATGCCAAACACCAAGCCCATAGCGGGTGGGGGGAATCCCAGCAGGCAGGAGGTGGAAGGAGGCAGGAATTTTAGCTGTTGGGAATACCCCACCCTAGAACTCCAAAGAAATTACTACAAAACTGTCTTTGCAAAGTTTCCTGTGAAGCCTAAACTGAGCCAATAGTTAATCATCTCAGCTTCCCAAGCTTCTTGGAAACTCTACAACATTGTGGTGGCACAACGCATCTCAGATCAGTTCAGGTGGAAGTGATCTGTGTCAAACTGGGTAGCTTAATGGAGCTTGCCTGGAAGAACTTCATAATGGATTCTGCCTCCAGGACTAGATCTGTCTGGCTCCCACATGCTATCCTTCATGGCAGTGAAGATCATCACTTCTCATGTTGGATTATTATCTGAAATAAAAGGTTCAGGTAGTCCCCAGCTTAAGAACAAGTTCTGTTCCCAAGATCTGTCCTTAACTCAAATGTGTATGTAAGCTGGAACAGTATTATCGAATAATACTGTATAAGTAGTGTTGTGTAATAAACTCGAACCATTGTGTATTTAACTCGAATTTTGCTACAGTAGGCTCCATTCTTAACTATGGGTCATCTGTAACCCAGGTGTTCTTAACCTGGGGATACCTGAACAGGATTTGTGTTTTGCTCTAAATTGTCACTTTTGCTTTTTTTCTCTCTTTCAACTAGAAATATTTTTGGTTTCTTGAGAAGCTAAGAGTTTATCTTTTATCCTTTTCTTTTTTCTCAGGCTCACATTTTGTTTTGTTGATTTGGTTTTTCTTTCACAAACACATATACATACACAAACAATTTAAATTTCAGGAAATGCTGATAGAAAAACTTGAAATATATATAATGTTTACTTTTAAGTACTTTTTATAAATATGAAGTCATATGATTATTTTACAAAATGTATTGTGTATAACTTGATTTGTCCATAAAAATGTATTTGGTGCATAATGGTGAAAAATGTAGTTTAAAGCAATAATTATGAACATACTGTTTAAATTTACTTTAAAATACTTTTTTTTTGTTGCAAATGAAACTGCGAGGTGCTAAGCACTAAGAAATGTATCACCCTTTATGCCTGTTTAAAAGAAGTAGATGGGCCAAAAGTTAAACTTGAAAACAGAAGAAATAATAAATATTGTATTGAACAACACGAACACAAAATGTTATGTATCAAGTAGCCTCAACTAGCACTACTTTCTGGGAAAAAAAGCTAAAAAGGGTGGGGAGGAACCAAGGACCAAAATGTGCATTTTGCCATATCAACCATTGTTGAAAGTACAAATAGTTCTCGCTTAACGACCATTCATTTAGTGACCGTTCAAAGTTATGATGGCACTTAAACCTACTTACAACTGATCCTCACACTTATGATTATTGCAATGCCCCTGCAATCATATGATCGCCATTTGCGACCTTCCCAGCCAGCTTCCAGCAAGCAAAAACAGTGGGGAACTGTGTGATTCGCTTAATGACCATGTGATTTGCTTAATGACCACCACAAAAAATGTCATAAAATTGGGTGCGATCATGTGATGCCTTGCTTAATGACTGTCCCAGTTAACGATGAATTTTCCAGTCCCTATTGTGGTTGTTAAGCAAAGACTACCTGTAATAGGTATTGTTGTATAGTCCATTTTTTCTTTTAAAAAATAGAGGAAAAGAACCTATCCCTTGAAAACTGGAAAAATGTTTGTTTCCCAATTTTTTTCAAGTCTTTTCCTAGGTGCTTTATGCTGTTTTGTAAATGTGCTATGTGGCTCATCTAATTACTATATTCTTATGCTTTTTTTTTCATAATTTCACTTTCTACCAACCAACTTCTGCAATTTTACCTTTTGGTCACTTTTTTTTCTGTTTCATTTTTCTTCCCAGGGCAATGGCCTGTGCTTTAAACAGCTGTAAACTAGATAGTTTTATGCAGTTTTTTATTCCATAATTTTAACTAATTTTACTCCAAAGAGTAAAAGAATGACTATGCTACAGTATTGTTAAAGAGAAATACTGAAAATCACCTTTGAGCACAATGGCTGCATTCAGAAGATGTCAGTTTAATTTAATATTCCCTATTCCTACATGCACCAGAGGTGGTCTTCCTTCAGAATATTGTTGATTTTGCACAGTGCCAGAATTTTAATGGTACACTTATCATAACATTGGTCAGCTTTGCTCTAATCAGGGGCACGTTCATTTGTATTCCTTTTATCACACTTTTTCAGCAGTTTCTTTTAGTTTGGTTTTACTGATTGGAGTTTCAGTGTGTCAAGATTGTCTTTTCCTTGCTAGCCTAGGCTCATTCCTAAATATTAATCTTAATCCTGTAATTGTCACTCCAGTTGACCTCTTTCCCATACTTCCCTTCTCTATTACTTTAGTTTTTAGTTTTGCTTCTGCCTCCTGTGACTAAAATGCTTGTGCTGAATTAAAATGCATTAACCAATGCATTTATGCAGGTTGTACTGGGAATCCTTTAAATGAATGCTTTTATTTAATCATGGAATAAAAGTTGTGATCAGTGAATATATGTGTGTGTATAGAAATTAGTATAAATCAAGTAATTATAGAAACACTAATCTTAGTTGCCAAAATTATTGTGTAGGTGTTTGATCACACTAACTTATATTTTATTTATAAACAGTGGCTAACAGTTGGATTTTTAAAAATTTCCGTAGCTTGACTTTCATCATGAGTTCTGAGTTGAATGTCCCTGTTGACCCTCCGCCTTCCACCTGCTGTGCTGAGCCCACTGGCAAGGGCATGGATTACAGAGACTGGGTCCGTCGTAGTTATCTGGAGCTAGTCACCTCCAACCATCACTCCGTTCAGGCTCTTTCCTGGAGGAAATTATACCTGAGCCGAGCCAAGTTGAAAGCTTCCAGCCGTACCTCTGCCCTCCTCTCTGGATTTGCCATGGTATGTCTTTATAGCAGCTTGATTGCCACGTCTTTGAGATCCGTGAACTGTTTCTATTATGGTTGAATTGGAAATTCCATGGGATCCTCAATGGGTTCTCTAACAGCCAGATGGAACAAAGCTTGACCTGGGATCAGACGTAACCGGAGGGAGCAGTAAAGAGTTTGCAATCTACATATAAAGCCAATCCTTGCATGGGGAGTTATGATAAGCAAATGCTTATTTTTAAATGATAATGCACCTCTCCATTCCAATGCTTCCACACCCTGTTTGTCCATTTTCTTTCTGGTAAAAAGTACAAAAAATGTGCAGTGACATCTTTTTAAAGCACCTCCAGTGGCTTTCCTGAAGGGTACTTTTCAAATACCTTAAGAACTGTCACATAGATGTAGATTAGGCGTATTCTGTATCATCTCAGAGTGCAGAACGCCAGGTAATAGATTTAAATTAAAGGAAGGCAGATTCTGATTGACTATTACAAAAATGTTCCTACCAACAAGAGTAAATGAAATCATTTATGCCAAGAGGTAATGAGCTCCCTTTCACTGCATGTGTTCAGAGGCTAGAAAATTGTTGTTTGGATTCACTTGTCTTGGTTTCTGTATACAGCAAGTTGTCCTTGATGGCCTAAATGCCTCTTTCCTGATTCCTGCTACATCTGAGTGGCAACCTAAAAACTACATCCCCAACCTTCAGAGTCCTGAAGCTCTCTGGTATCGCAACACTAACATTTAGCAGCAAAGGAAGTTTCTTGATTTTAAAAAATAAATAAGGATAAAAATAGGTGTGTTATTGATCATATTTATATGGCTGCCCATCTCACAAAATGTGACTCTGAATGGTATACAATAAAAACCATTTGGAAGGCAGGCAGGAAGGAAGAAAGAGAGGGAGGGAGAGAAAAAGGGAAAGGAGGAAGAGGCAGGCAGGCCAGCAGGCCAGGCTTGCACCATTTAGTGTGCTCAGTGACATCATTGTGTCACTACCACACTTGGACTAGAAAAAAAATGCAATCCTCAGGTGCAAAAAATTCTGCCATTGTTCTCCATCATCTTGAATGGGTTTAGAATGCAGCTCCATTGAAGAAACCAATTACATGAGAATGTTGGCAGGGTGGGAGGGAGGATGGCAATCAAATGGAGAGAAGTCATCCACTTAATGCCATCTTTTTAAACAATGATAGACCCATTTATACTGAAATTTGTTTTAATCCATAGCTGTGGTGTTAACATATTTTACAGTTTTACTTTTTATGGTTTATCTGATGTTAAGTGAATGATTTGAAAACCTCTATGCATTAGGCTCAGGAAATCTAGGGGAGATAGGTTAATAGAGTTGAAGGAGACCTGAGTAGGTAATTTACTCCAATCCCTGCTCAATGCAGGATCTGCTAAAGCATTTTAACAGATGGCTATCCAGCCTCTGAAGATCTCGTTTTATTCATGTGAAAATACCTACGTCTAAAATAAGACCAAGGTTCAGCACCATGAATGAATGGAATTGTGATGAAGTGAATTTACAGCAAAAGGAGCACACTTTAAATTGAGTATTTTATTATTCTAATTATTTTCTCTAAAATACCACAAAAATATTCTTACCTGTGCTTACCAGCTAAAACATTTCAAGTAGAAATCATCGGCATACTTTTTTAGAAAAAAATTCTTATCCCAACATATAAGGAAACTTTTAATTTTTAGTGTCAACAATCCAAGTACTTTGAGGGACACAGAAAAGGAGCCTGGGCATCAGGTTGCCTACTCTACACTAGGAGAATGGCCCCTCAAGCTAGGTAAATTTGAGGGGGGAAATCTGAGAGCAGGACAGTTACATATAGGTACACACATTTTAATTTAATATCTTAAAGATTTGGCTGGCTGCCCACTAGCTGAAGTACTCAGTAGAAGCATTCAACAGTTCAACATATGTTGCAATTCCTTCTTGGAATACATAATAATATGTATTTTGTATTTGGGAATGGAGATTTCAGATAGTCACCCTTGATATAAACATGCTGTACCCTGTATTAATTTGATCTCTTTTTAGAACACCAGCTAAGCCCATAGACATTGTAACGGAATGGAATCCCATGTATTTTGTAACAGTGACATCTTCAGAAAATCTCAGTGATGCCAAAATAACAGCATGTAGGCAGTTAAGTGACATCATTGCACAAATGCCACCATTATGTATTTGCAAGTACATAAAATGTGACAGTGTCATCATGCACATTTTACCACTTGCCCCTCCCCCTCTCCCTGCTGTGAACATCTTGTTTTGTGCAATGTCACACTGCTAGATCACCAAAATGATTTTAAAATCTAAGTTTTATTTTTAAACATTGTTTTTCATCCAAATTGTTCTCCTGGGTTAGCAGTGGGTCTTCATATCAATTTATGGAGGATAGGTGTATGAAGAGCTGTAACTTTTGAAGATTCAAGGTTACTTCAGAGTGGGGGGTAGCATTCCTCCAAATACCAGCTGCAAGTGAGCAGTGATGAAAGAGAATATCTCCTGCTTGCAAGTCCTCAGAGGCATCTAGTTGGCTCCTATGAGAAACAAAATGCTGAACTAAGAGATGCCTTGGTGTGATCTGGCAGGGCTGTTCTTACCTAGGTTCACTAGGGAGCCAAGCAGATTGATTGATTGATTGATTGATTGATTGATTGATTGATTATGTACCATCAAGTCGGTGTTGACTTTTAGCAACCACATAGATAGATTTTCTCCATGATGATCTGTCCTCAGCCTGGTCTTTCAGGCCAAGCAAATAGTCATCTCTTCACATGTTATTTTTCAGGTGGCAATGGTTGAAGTCCAGCTTGAGATGCAGTACCAGTATCCCCAAATGCTGCTGATTGCCTTCAGCGCTTGCACCACCATTTTAGTTGCTGTTCATCTCTTTGCTCTACTTATCAGCACTTGCATCTTGCCCAACGTGGAAGCAGTGAGTAACATCCACAACCTGAACTCCATCAGTGAGTCTCCCCATGAACGTATGCATCCTTATATAGAGTTGGCATGGGGCTTCTCCACTGTTTTGGGCATCCTTCTCTTTCTTGCTGAGGTTGTTCTCCTATGCTGGATCAAATTTCTGCCAGTGGACTCCGTGTTGAGAAATGATAATACTGTTATCCAGAAGAGCAGCCAGCATACAGGCTGGCATGCAGCCCTCATCTCTACTATAATTATGGTTCCTGTGGGGATCATCTTTGTTGTCTTCACGATCCATTTCTACCGGTCGCTTGTCCGCCACAAAACAGAGCGCCACAACCGAGAGATTGAAGAGCTCCACAAACTGAAAGTGCAGCTAGATGGGCATGACAGGGGTTTGCAGGTTGTGTGACAAATGGATGTCTTTATGTTCCTATGTTCATGTCAGGCTGAGGGTTTTCCTAGCAGAAGCTAATGGAAAGAGGCATGATAGGCTGTTTAGAGGCCTGTCCTTCTCTGATGCCAAACATTTTTTATTTGGTTACTTTTCACTGAGGCCCAGACCTCTCTTTGATCCTTCAAACTGCAGCCAACATAACCATGTTTATAAAACTGAAGGCTACTTACACCTGGGCAGTTATTCTTTCCGCTTCCAGAACTTGAAAACAGACTAAATAGCTGGATAGTTGTAATGTATTTCATTGCTGTTCATTTTAGTATTTTTTGAGGGAATGCATGGAATAAGGGAAAAGTCTGTTTGCCACTGCTCCCTTACTGGCAAGGTTTACAAACATTACTTTGGAAATGAGTTTGTACATCGCAACATGTTATGGAAATTGTGAAATGTGTCTGCTTCGTGATCTCTTACACAGGGAGTATTTCTGGACTAATGGCAAGGATCAATTCAATCTGAGCCAAGACCTTTCCTCTGCCTGCTTTTG